AATGTCTTTGTGATATTAACTTATGCAACGATTTCTTAGCTAAAGCAACAAAAGCACAACCCATAAAAGAAAAAAATTATAAATTGGGCTTTATCAAAATTAAGAATATCTCTCTTTTTTAAACACCATTAAAGATAATAGAAAGAGTAGAATATCTGCAAATTTACATCTGAAAAATGACTTGCATCCAGAATATATAAATAACTTCCTACACTTAGTAATATGAAAACATAGAACCCAATTAAAAATTGACAAAAGCCGAAACCGGTTTGGCTCAGTGGTAGAGTGTCGGTCTGCGAACTGAGAGGTCCCGGGTTCAATTCCGGTCAAGGGCATGTACCTTGGTTATGGGCACACCCCCTGTAGGGGGTGCGCAAGAGGCAGCTGGTCGATGTTTCTCTCTCATCGACGTTTCTAGCTCTCTATCTCTCTCCCTTCCTCTCTGTAAAAAATCAATAAAATATATATTTTGTTCTTAAATTAACAAAAAATTTGAAGACACTTCACCAAAGCTATATGGATAGCAAATATGCTCAGCATCACTAATTGTTGGAGAAATGCGAATTAAAAACATGAGATTCCACTACAAATTAGAATGTCTAAAATTTAAAAGACTGGCTATACCAAGAGTTGCTAAGAATGTGAAAGAACTGAACCTCTTCCAGGGGTCCTCAAACTTTTTAAAGTGGGGGCCAGATCACGGTCCCTCAGAGAGCTGGAGGGCTGGACTATATGAACTACTAATTCCTACTGTAACACCTCGGCTGCGCTCACTGCCCAAAAAACCTGGCGGGCCGGATCAGACTCCTCTGCGGGCCGCATGTGGCCCGCGGGCCGTAATTTGAAGACCCCTGTTACACTGCTGGTGGGAATGCAAAATAGTACAGCTGCTTCAAAAACCCGATAGTTTCTTTAAAAGTTAAGTATATACCTACCATATAATCTAGCCATTCTACTCCTAGGTATTTATGTAGCCAAGAGAAATAAAAGTATATATCCATACAATGACTTGTATACAAAGTTGCATAGCAGTCTTATTTATTATCAAAACTGGAAATAATATGTCCAACAATGGGTGAATGTATTTTCTAAAGAGTTATTTAAATAACCCATTAGGGTTTATATATATTTTTTTAATTGATTTCAGAGAGGGAGAGAGGAATAGAAACATCAGTGATGAGAGAGAATCATTTATCAGCTGCCTCCTGCACACCCCCACTGAGGATCAAGCCCGCAACCCAGGCATGTGCCCTGGGGAATTAAACCACGACCTCCTGGTTCATAGGTCAATGCTCAACCACTGAGCCACACCAGTTGAGCAATAGGTGAATGTATTAATAAACTGTGGTATAGTCATACAAAGGAATATTATTCAGAATTAAAGGGAAATCAACTACTAATACATTAGAAACATGAATCTCAAAACAAGAGGTCAACCAAAAATTTTATATGCATGCATATAAGCATAACGAATGGACACAAGACACTGGAGGGGGTGGGAGGAAGGCATATGCCGGGGGGAGGTAGGAGAGAAGGTCAATGGGGGGAAAAAAGGGAGACATAGGTACTGGTTGTCCTCAATTGCCCTCCCCTGCCAGCTTGGGAGTTTAAAGTATTTGTAATATTTTAAACAATAAAATTAAATTAAAAATAAAATAGAACAAAAAAATTTAATTTAATTTTAAAAAAGCAAAAAAGAACTGATACTGAATAAAATAAGCATAACTACATACTGTATGATTCCATTTATATAAACTTCTAGAAAATGAAAATAATATGTAATGAGAGAAAGATCAGTAGTTGTCTGGTATGGCGGTCAAGGAGCCAGGATATGATGAAAGCTTTAGGGGTGAGGGCTATGTTCATCCTCTTGTTTGTGATGATGGTCTCATAAGTCTATACATATGTCAAAACTTAACCAATTGTACACCTTAGATATCTACAATTTATATGTCAACTATATCTCAATAAATCAGCTTTTAACAAATATGTTTTTAACCCAATAATTAATAATATTTCATAATATAAATTGGGCCCTAATTCATTCATTAAAAATTATTCCTTGTTAATAATGTGTAATTTGTCATAAAATTCATAGGGCATCCTTATTTCCAAACTATTAAAAAAGACATTTAAACTGGCAAAATTCAGTCAATCATAAAATAAATGTCTTATAAAAGCAATAAATCTCTAAACAATACACATGTTTTTTCATTAAGAAAACTTAAAATAACTAAAAAGAATAGCAAACCATGTAAACTATTAATTTTATTTCAAGTAGGATTAAAAAAAACAAAAAAGTGCTATTATCTCCTTCCTAGTATAACTACTGTTATAGTTTTATAGTCAATCCTCTATAACAGATTAAAGCAGACCATGGCAAATAGAGAAAGAAGCAACTATTTCCCATGAGGAAATGTTCTCTAAATGAGGTGAAGTTAAACAGAAATGTCTGGGGCTTCTCTCTGAATCCCTCAGCTCCTAGACAATCACCACAAACCTCTCCTCCTCATCAAAGCCTAATGGTAGAAACAATCCAATTTCATTAAAGGAAGCCTACAGAGGAACCTAAATAAAAGAGTTCTTCAATTAGCATTATATAACTTCCCACCTCCTCCTGGCTTAGGTACCCAAATTCTCAAGTCTATCAAATACTCCAACAATTACTTTCCTTCATTTGAAGGATTTTTTAAGCCACAGGGAACAGGTAACTTCCTACTATATCAGCCTACTTCATCACTTGCCCTTTTCTTTATCATCACCACAATACTTATGTTTATGTTCTCATGACCAGTGTAATTGTTGAAGTCAGAACCTGATTTAGGGAAGTGGCCTGATGTAGTGTGATAGAAGGAATATGGGCTTTGGCATCAGACAGACATAGGTCCAAACTTTGGTTCTAATAAATATTGCCTTGTGACTCAAGTTTCTCAATAAAAGAATCAAATCATCTTTCTCAATGGACAAATACTGGTATTAAATGACACAATGTATGTGAATTATTGAATATTTGATAGATAGGAAGTGATCCATTAATTATAATCTCCACAATACACCATAATTTTAAATAGTGGGGAAGAAAGGTAGTTTTTTTGGACTAACAGCTGACTAAACTTGACTAATTCTTGCCTCAACACAAAAGTTAATCACATTAATTGCAACTCTTGAGGCACCAAATTCCTACTATGGTTCCAAATAAAATGCTATCTGAAAAGTCCTCATTGTCAAATCTTTCTATCTTCTGTCACATGACCAAAGGACATTTTGTGCAGTTCCACCACCACCCTCAGACTAATAAAGACAACAAGAATTCTGGCCAAGTCTCCCTGACATCACCAATAATGGCTTAGATGGCTGGACCTCAGAGGTATCTATTCCAGGCCCACAGTTTGATTTTTACTTGTGCTCAGTAGTATTTGAATGAAGATGAACTTAATTTCTCACAGCATTTCCTCAGATTTTAAAAATATATATATATATTTTTTTTTTGAAGGTTAAATTAGGCAGACACTTTACAAGTTGGATTTTTGCCAAGTGGATCCAGAATCATGGAAGCAAGGAACAGAGTGCAGAATCTCAGGAAGTCGGGGGAGGGTGGACAGATGGGAGTTAATCAACCACAGGCCTTGTATGCATATATGCATAACCCATGAACACAGAGAATGGGGTGTTGAGGGCCTGGGGTGGGGGGCAGGGATGAGTAGAGGGAAGTCGATGGGGGAAAAGGGAGAACCTATGTAATACGTTCAACAATAAAGATTTTTTTTAATAAATTAAAAAATAAAAGTTGGATTCTATAAGGCTGGTCCTATAACATTACAGGAAAGCAAAGTCTAAGGTAAATGAGGAAACTACAAATAAAAGTTTGTAAATCTTTCTCATACAAGAAAATGCTCTTTTACACATTTTTAACCCTAAAGATATTGAGACATCTCAAAATCAGTCCAATACCCAAAATCAACTGATTCACAGGCATTCTGAGATGAGATAGTGTGGTACAAATATGATTCTTTCAAAAACATTTAGCAGCAATAAAGCTCACAAAAAAGCATTAAACCTTTGCTTCAACATATTGTATATTAGCTAATCTAAAAAGTTTAATGCATTAAGTTTTCCACTTCTGATTGTTTTTTTCATTAGATTTTCATCAAAATTTATAGGGAAACCCAAGTATGTATGCTATGGACAAATATATGCAATATAGAGAGCATTAGGAAAAGGTGAGACAGTCTTAACTCTGATTGCAAAGGTGAAAGAATTACTCAACTGCAGAAGGACTAGTGTAAATTTGACTAATATAACCAAGGATCTAAAAAAAAATCAATGAAGTTCAAAATTTTATATTGGGCCACCTCTTAGGCAATGAAAGTCCTGGAGACAATCAATTCATTAACAAATATTTCCTAGGCATCTAATATACCTCTGCACAATGTTTTGGAGATGGGAAAATATGTCTGTGCCTCAGTGGCACTTAAATTAGAACATGTTAGCAGGCTGAAGCAGAAAAGGCACCCACCCAAGAGTTGAAAGATTAGAGCTCTAGTCCAACTTTGCCCCACTCTCTAGATGTCTGTCCCTAAGCAAATCGCTGAAACTTCTACAGAACTCAATTTTCTTTTATTTTTTCCACTGATTTCTAGAGAGAGTGGAAAGAAGGGGGCAGAGGAGAAAGAAACATCAATGTGACAGAGACACATCCATTGGCTGCTTCTTGGTTGCTTCCTGCATGCTCCCTGACCTGGGCAGGAATCAGACCTGCAACCAGGTATGTGTCCTTGACAGGAGTCAAGCCTGCGACCCTCTGGTGCACAGGCCAACGCTCTAACCACTGAATCACCTTGGCCAGGGCTCACCTAGAAAATTGCTAAGGGCTCTTCCATTCTAAATCTATTAAGCCAAGTAAAAGGACAAGGGAGAGGAAATGGGCCTTAAAGAACTGGAAGGATTTAAACTGACTGAGAAGAAAGGATATTCTAGGGAAGGAGCATGAAGGTACCTACCTTGTACAATTTCACTTATACGAGATATCTGGAGTAGTCAAAATCATGGAAACTGAAGGTAAAAGGGTAGGTGCCAGGAGCTGAGGGAAGGAGAAATAAGAAATTGTTCAATAGGTAGAGTTTTCATTTTTTCAAGATGACAAAGTCCTAGAGATCTGTTACACAACAATGTAAATATAGTTAACACTTCAAAATGATTAAGAAGGTAAATTTAATGTTTCTATTACCACAATTAAAAAGAAAAGGAGTCACAGAAATTAGTGTCCTAGAGGTCACACACTAATGCAAAAAACATTTCAAATCAACTAGTTTCTAATCCTAATCTCTAAAATTCCTTTTCTCCCAATTAGAAAAGTGAACATGTATTGTTAGTGGGACATAGAGGCTTCCCCAACAATAAAGCTGAGGGAGTGTGTTGAAAAAAATGAGGAAAGAGAAGACAATACAAATATTAAGCAACAGTAAAAATACAAAGCAGGGTATTCAAACACAAACCAATGGTGTCATCTCCACAAGCAATCCAGCCTAAATCCATTAAGTAAAACCATATAGAGAGGATAAAGAAAAACTCAACCTGTTTCCAAGGCCCAGCCCCCTCCAGTCCAACTCTCCAGCCCCCCTCACCCACCAGATTCTTCTACACTCTTCTTGCTCCATACATGCAACTGTACTCTAAGTCCCTAGTCCTCTTCATGAGCTGTGACATTACATGGTCTTTGCCCTTACTGTTTGCTCTGGCTGGAACACTGCTCTTTTTTTGTGCATTCTTCAGATTTCAGTCCAAATATCACTTCTGTGACTTCTCTAACTTAAATACTTGTCACAGTTTTTTATCTGTGTGATTATGTAATATCATCTGCTGAGGACAGGGACCATGTTTGCACTCACTACCCCTCATTTCCAAGACCAAGCACAGTGCCTAGTACCAAGAAAGCACTCAATTGGTGGACTAAGCGAATAAATGGGCACTAAATCTATAAAGAATGAAGGGGTCTCCTTAAGAGTGTGTATCTTTGCCCTAACCGGCTTGGCTCAGTGGATAGAGTATCAGCTTGTGGACTGAAGGGTCCCAGGTTCAATTCCAGCCAAGGGCACATGCCTGGGCTGCAGGCTTGATCCCCAGTATGGGGCATGCAGGAGGCAGCCAACCAATGATTCTCTCACATCACTTATGTTTCTCTCTCTCTCTCCTTCTCCCTTCTTCTCTGAGACCAATAAAGAGTGTGCATCTTCACAAAATGAATCTTTGGAAAATGCCCCAAAAAATGAACCTAAAGTCCCTATTCAACTCTTTAAAAAGAAAAACAAGCCCTAGCCAGTTTGGCTCAGTGGATAGAGCGTTGGCCTGCAGACCAAAGGGTCCTGGATTCAATTCTGGTCAAGGGCACATACCTCAGTTGCAGGTTCCTCCTTGGCTCCAGCCCTGGTCAAGGCTTGAGCAGGAGGCAACCAATATGTTTCTATCACATCGCTGTTTCTCTCGGTCTTTCCCTCTCCTTTCCACTCTCTCTAAAAATCAAAGAAAAAATATTTTCAGGATTTTTAAAATAATAATAATTTTTTAAGAGAAAAATGTCAACTCAGATGCATGTACAGGCGTACTCTGAAATGTTGCAGTTTCAATTCCAGACACCATAATAAAGTGAGTCACAATCTTTTTGCTTGTGGGAGGGTCTTGCCTACCATTAGTAATAAATGCAAAACCTGTGAAGCACAATAAAACAAAGCAAAACAAAATGAGGTATACCTGTATAAATTTCTCTAGCCCTCCTGCTGAGCATCCAAGGAAGATATTTTAAACAAACATACACACACACACATTCACATACACATACACATACACCCCATAGGTAAACTATTTCCTGATCCAGTGCCAGCTACATAGTAAGCATTCTGGAAATATATGTCAAAATGAAGAAAGCAACATTTCACAAGACTGGTAAGTGTATATGAAACAGTAAATAACTCTATTTAAATTGTGATGTCTTGCGGGGGAGATCAATTGGGGGAAAAGGAAACACATGTAAAACTTTAGACAATAGGAAACAAATAATATCTATACTTTAGATATATAATCCATAAACATATTCCTGAAAACTCAGACCCATACTGACCTCTCTTCCCGCTGATTTTGCATTTAAATAAATGTTATTTTACAGTTTCCCTAAAATTTAATGTGTGCACTCTCATTTCTTATTATGTATCCTTCCAGATGCATATAACACTGTAGGTACCATGTTTCCCCGAAAATAAGACATCTCCGAAAATAAGACCTAGCGCATGTAAAGATAAGACATCCCCTGAAAATAAGACCTAGCGCAACTTTGGGAGAAAAAACTAATATAAGACACTGTCTTATTTTCGGGGAAACAGGGTAATTAATAGTTCTCGAACCAAAATGAAATTATATTGCTTTGAATAATGAATTTTGAGACAGAAACTCCTGTATTTTATTCCCAAATAATAAGTCATTCCCAAAAATTGTTCACATGCCTGTCTGGGCTCTATTATCATTGGATTAAATGTAAAGTCATTATCTAACAATGTTACTACGCCTTCAAATTCAGTTATGGGAGGTGTTCAGTCTCTTGTAGTTCCATATAAATTCCAGTTTGTCTATTTCAAAAATACAGCTGGGATTTGGATACTATGTTGAGTCTGTTTTCAAATGTAAATCAGAGATATCAACACCACCTGCCCCTACTTTCTTCAACATAGCAAATTTCACTTGAAACTTCTCCTAAACCTACTCAGTCTCAGGGAGAGTACCTTCTGTAGAAAATCGGAAAATACAAAACCTTAACTACACAGTATTCACTGCACATTACTAAACACTGGAAAGTTCATTCCCAGGGAAAGGGTCAAATATAATCAATTAAATGAGTCTCCACGATCAACAGAACATTTCAAGTACATCGCTTTGGAAAGCAGCTGACAAACGGCAAATAATATATTTAAGTGGCTGCTGATCAAGGCTCCTGAAGCACCGGCACCGGACATCAGGGCCAGGGACCCTGGGAAGGCGCCCACAGGTGACCGCAGCCTCGGGAAGCATCCTCTCCACCGCAACCGGCCTCGCAGCGGACATGCTCCCCGCGCACCTCGCCGGGCTGCCGGGAAGGCCGCGTCTGCCGGGAGCGGGGGCGTGAGATGGGCAGGAGCGACGTCAGGGCCGGGAGGAATGCCAGCGGCGCAGGGCGCTCGCCCGGGCCGCCCCTGGTGCCCACGCAGCCCCGCAGAGGCCCCGCTGGCCAGCCCGGGTGGGCCCGGCGGAGGGGTCGAGGTGGGACTGGCGGGAGGGGGTGAGTGGCCTCACCGTAGCTCCCGGGAGGCCGCCGCCGCCAGAATTCCGCAGTTGCTAAGGAGAATGCTCTTCCGGGTCGAGGGCGGGCGCGGCGGGGTAGAGAGCAACGGTGGCCGGAAGGGACCAAGAGCGAAGCGCGGGTTGGTGAGCTGCGCCGGCGGTGGTCTGCGGTGGCTCGGCTGCGGCGGGAGCGAAAGGCCCGGAGCTCTTCCCGTGTCGCCTTGCGGGGGCGACTGGCTGGAGGGGTGGCTCTAGCAGGACGGCCTCAGGGACACCTTCCTGTCCGGCCGCGACGGGCTCCGGGCTCTGCGCTACGAGGCTGGCCTTCGAGGGGCGCCCTCCCGCCCCTGCCCTCACCCCCCGCAGCCCGCTTCTAGTCCCCGAGTGTGGCTCTGCCGGCCCTTACCTGTGACAGGGCTTTACTCAACGACCCTGCTCAGGGCCAGGTGCGGGGTTGGCACTGAGGATGCGGAGGGTGCAACCCAGTCTCGTCCCTGACCTCAGAATGCCAGGCCGCCGGGGGGCAGGCAGTGTCCTGCGTCCTGGATGGGCCACTATAGGAAGCGACTGGAGCCTGCCCAGAAGGGCCAATCTAGACACAAGTAGGGGAAAGCTGATGGTGGAGAGCCGAATAAAAAGGATACGGAAAAAAGTGTTTCAGGTTGGAGCTGGCTCAGTGGAGAAACTCCCAGAAAGATGAGTGTGGTCTATCCGGGGAAGTGTGTAGAGAAGAGAAAACGGCTAAGGATGGAAGCTAGAGAGCATCATTATGGTAGATGTGACCAAAGGAAAAAAAAAAACCCAAAGAACAATCAGATGTTGGCTTGAAGGACTGCTGAGGATATAGCAGGAGAGGACAGGGAGTGGTCACCCGCATCAAATATGGAGGTCAAGTGCCCACTGGTGACTAGGAAAATCAAAATTCAGGTATACAGTGTCATAATCTATAGTGGCTTGAGTTTGTCGTCCACCACTATATGCTCCATACTGAAACAAGGAAAAGAGATGACTTTATTCCTGAATATCTTAGTATTTTAAAAAGCACTGTCGGCCCTAGCCAGTTTTGCTCAGTGGATAGAGCATTGGCCTGCCCACTGAAGGGTCTCAGGTTCCATTCCAGCCAAGGCCACATGCCTGGGTTGCAGGCTCAATCCCCAGCAGGGGTCGTGCAGGAGGCAGCCAATCAGTGATTCTCATCATTGGTGTTTCTATGCCTCTCCCTTTCCCTTCCTCTCTAAAATCAGTAAAAATAATATATTTTTAAAAGCATTTGCAAATTTCAGGATTCCTCTACTGATAACTGAGTTCCTTGAAAGCAGGAAATATTTCTTGCTTACCCTTGTATCTACAGTGCCTGCCACACACAAAAGCTTTAATCAATGTTGTTTAAAGAATGAATAAATCCAGTCTTTGGTGTTAAATGTTCACACAAATCCTTTCAGAACCCTTAGCAAATCTGCGATGTAGGTCAAATTTGTCTATTCAAGTGTAGAAGATGGGAGAATACCAGCAGGGGCAGAGGATGTTGGAGGCCCAAGGGTTTAATGAGTGGGAGGGAGAGGGTCCAATGGAGCCTGGAATGGAAAACCCACAAGAGAAAAAGAACAAAGAATTGAAAATTTGGAGGCTGACTTTTGTGGGCCAGAACTAGAAATGAAGCCAAAGAAATAAAAAATAGAAGCAGGGCCCTGGCCAGCTTGGTTCAGTGGATAGCGCGTTGGCCTGTGGACTGCAGGATCCAAGGTTCAATTCTGGCCAAGGGCACATGCCCTGGTTGTGGGCTCGATGCCCAGTGGGGGGGCATGCAGGAGGCAGCCCATCCATGATTCTCTCTCATCACTGATGTTTCTATCTGTCCCTCTTCCTTCCTCTCTGAAATCAATAAAGAAATATATTTTTAAAAAATAGAAGCAGGAATAAACAGCAAAGACAAGAACAAGGGAATATGTATAACTTCAGGTGATTGTATAGGAATTGGACAGGCAGGTCCTGTTCTGATTGGACACTTGAGAGGAAGTGTGGTGTCAGCCAGTATGAAGGCTCCTTGCAGGGCTGGTAGACATATCTCCATGTCCTCTAAGTTCAGTGAGCCTACAGCTTCCTCATATGGGCCAAAGGAAAACCATAACACACTTTGGAGTGACTGGAGGGAGAGACTTATCTCACAAGTCCATAACTCCAGCACATTTTCATTATATAAAATATTATAATAAGCTCCACCAAAACATAAATATTATTCTCTGAAAGACTACAAATCTATTCCACTAGCCATCTATGGAAGTAAAACCACAAAATTCTAAATTGTTTGAAGAATTTTAAAATACCCAAAATATTAGCCAAGGGGGCATAGGTGTAACACCAGCAAGACAGGACCAGAAATGGTTATAATTTGTAAAAGGAAGTTAAGTCAATTGTTTTGTGAACAAAAAGAGCAAAATCAGCCTTTAAGGTAGAAAAAGAAAGACCCAAATACATGAAATATATTAGGTGAAGTTTATCCCACAATGTCCTAGCAGACTTGAATATAGCATCTATTCTAAAGAACTGTGCTTTGTTAAAGGACCAACGTGACTCATGAGGCTCAACTTGGCTGGGATTCTGGGAGATTTCAATGATGCCTCAAGAGATAGACACTTACCTTTTCTAAGAAGGGCATATTTTTTTTACAGAGTGGTTCCTCCAATATTTCAAGTACCTATCTGGCTCCATACCTATAGGTATTATTATATTATCAATTATATTCTCCATGCTGTACTTCACATCTTTGTGACTTCTGTAACTACCAATTTGTACTTCTTAATCCCTTCACCTTTTTTACCTAGCCTCCCAACTCCCCTCCCCTCTGTTAGTTGTCAATCTGTTCTCTATATCTATGAGTCGGTTTCTATTTTGTTCATCAGTTTATTTTGTTCTTTAGATTCCATATATGAGTGAAATCATGTGATATTTATCCTTCTCTGACTAGCTTATTTCACTTAGCATAATACTCTTCAGGTCCCTCCATGTAAGAGATCCCTTCTTTTTTTATACCTGCGCTAGAGGAGCCCAGTGCACCAATTCGTGCACCAGTGGAGTCCCTTGGCCTGGCCTGTGGGGATTGGGCCAGACTAGCTCTCTGACATCCCCCAGGGGGTCCCAGATTGCAGGAGGGCAGTTCTTGGGTGGCATACCCCAGAATCAGGCTCCCTCCTCTCTGGTTCCAGATTCATTACCCGAGAACCACAGCTGCAAAGTCACCACAGCTTGGAAGCTCCTCTGTTAGCGTCTGCCCCCTGGGTCAGTGCATGTCATAGCTACCCATCGGATGGTCACTTAGGCTTTTATATATATAGATAGTATTCCATGGTGTAAATGTAACACCGCTTTTTTTTTTTTTTTTAATATATTTTATTGGTTTTTTACAGCGGGGAAGGGAGAGAGATAAGAGCTAGAAACGTCGATGAAAGAGAAACATCGACCAGTTGCCTCCTACACACCCCTTACCAGGGATGTACCTGCAACCAATGTACATGCCCTTGACTGGAATCGAACTTGGGACCTTTCAGTTCACAGACCGACGCTCTACCGCTGAGCCAAACTGGTTTCGGCGTACCACTGCTTTTTTATCCACTCATCTACTAATGGGCACTTGGGCTGTTTCAAGATCTTAGCTATTGTAAATTGTGCTGCTATGAACATAGGAGTGTTTAGGTTTCTTAGGATATATTTCTAGAAGTGGGATCACTGGGTCAAATGGCAGTCCCATTTTTAATTTTTGAGGAAACTATACTATTTTCCATAGTGGCTGCACCAGTCTGCATTCCTACCAGCAGTGAACTAGGGTTCCCTTTTTACCACATCCTCTCCAGCACTTGTCATTTGTTGATGACAGCCATTCTGGTAGGTGTGAAGTGATACCTCATTATCATTTTAATTTGCATCTGTCTAATGATTAGTAACTTTGAGCATTTTTTCAGATGTCTCTTGGACATTTGTATGTCCACTTTGGAAAAGTGTCTATTTAAGTTTAAACTGTTTTTTATCCTTACCCAAGGATATATTTTGAGAGAGAGAGAACATGAGAGAGAAACATTGGTCAGTTGCCTCCCATACATGCCACTCCCAGGAATCCTTTTGGTACACAGGACAACACTCCAACCAATTGAGCCACCCAGCCAGGGTAAGTTGTGAGTTATTTTTAATATTAACCCTTTTTTTGGATGTATCATTGGCAAATATCTTCTTCCATTCAGTAGGTTGTCTTTTCGTTTTGTTGATGTTTCCTTTGCTGTGCAAAAACTTTAGTTTGATATTGTCCCATTTGTTTATTTGTTTATTTTTTTTAATATATATATATATATATATATATATATATATATATATTTTTTTTTTTTTTTTTTTTTTTTTTTTTACAGAGAGGAAGAGAGAGGGATAGAGAGTCAGAAACATCGATGAGAGAAAATCATCGATCACTTGCCTCCTGCACACCCCACACCGGAGATGTTCCCACAACCAAGGCACATGCCCTTGACCGGAATCGAACCCAGGACCTTTCAGTCCACAGGCTGACGCTTATCCACTGAGCCAAACTGGTTTCGGCTGTTTATTTTTTTTGTTTGTTTCATTTGCCCAAGAGGATATGTCAGAAAAAAATATTGCTAATAGAAATGTCCAAGATTTTATTGCCTATGTTTTCTTCTAGGAGTTTTATGGTTTCAGATCTTACATATAAATCTTTAATCCATTTTGAGTTCATTCTAATATATGATATAAGAAGGTATAAAGGACATATTTTTTGAGAACTGAAAATAATGGGGAATATAAGACATTTTGGGGAGGCTAGCAATCTGAATCTGTGCCAGTAACCTGCCTTCTAATACAAACTCTTGCTAGCCGATAATTAACTCCACTGATGCCTGTCTTGTCTTGCAGAACCTGTTTCCCAGAATACTCCCATTTTACAAAGGGGCCATAAACAAAAAATGTAACAGCTTAGCTAGAAGGGAGGTCACTAGGATCACCCAGTCCAGGCGTTTAGATACAACCTAACCTCCCCATTCTAACTGACTCAGGAGGGGCTGTGGAAACCCACCACAAAAGCTGGTAGTCAAGAAACAGAAAACAAACAAACCAAAGGGTATAAAGAGAAAGCTTTCTCCATATTCACTCA